ATATCTAAGAATATTTGAGCACAACCATTCATGAGCAACGTGAATTTGAAAAATTAAAAGGCATATATTTTGAGATAATGAACTTTTCTAGAGCTAATTTTGATATATTCATTTATTCTAGATACCCTGAAAAAATTATACCTAAAGACCTTTTTTTCATCGAAATTATCATTAAAAAACCTAACGTTAGTAACATGACTCTTGGAAGGATATTTACTTCCATTTCATAAATTTTAGTTTAAAAAGCTTCAAATTACAGCAACATATTTGAAAACTAATAATTAATACATTTCTGTAGACCACACTCTTGAGACTAAACAATCTCTATCGAAAGTTTTTCTGAGCATGCATAGATTTTTCAAAAATTTGGATTTACTTTTCGTTCGCGCAACATAGAGGACTTCGTCAGAATCAATTCATAATGATAAGAGAAAAAGCTTTTGTGTTGAAATTCGATAGGTTGTATAGAAAACCAATTTTGAAGAGGAAAATAATTATTAATTATAATTACACATCAATTGAAAGAGGTAACATTTTTATGTTTGCCTATAGTAAAAAAGAATTTATTCAGAATAATTTCTATTTTTTTTTCGTTTTTTTACTTTCAATTACAACGATTATATTTTATTACAGATAATATAATAATGGTAACAACAATGCAAGAAATTCTTATTGATGCACAAAATGAAGTCGAAAATATCTTCATAGTTTAATATTAGCATTCATTTATTTAAGATATATGAAATACAAGAATTATCTTCAGTAGAAAATGATCTACAACACTATCGTCTAGTCGGAAAAAATACGAGGTAACCATAAGAAATTTATAAAAATAGTTTCTAGATTTCTTATTCTTTTTTTTCAATTTAGACAAAGTCTTCATGAATATAGATAGCAAGAAAGAAAACTGTAATAGATATTGACCACTGATACCTCCTACTGATCGAAATAATGAATGTGATGTATTTAATCGTATTTAATATACAGCTAAATTTTATAAAAATGGAATGTATAAAACAGTACGTCGTCAACAAACTGTATTAATAATTATATCGCAATATTTATATCGTTGAACAAATACTGCATTATGTTATTTGTTTTCAACTTGTATTTATAACAAAGCAATGTATGAGACCCGATATTCGAATTGAAAATGAATAATCCTATGAAACAGTATCACATTTTCATCTAAAAAAATTAGATTATGATAATATGATATAAAAGAAAACTTAAAAAAAAAATTTTTCTATTAAAGTGTAAGTGTTCGATGTTTATACTACTACATATCAAATACTGTTTTATTATTGTTATCGTTAAACGAAAATGTAAATTCTTATGGTTGGTAGCTTGAGTGAATTTTGCATGGAACATTGAACGAATACTTTCAAAATTTTGTTCAATTAGAGAACAAATAGACAAGGCTGAGATATTTTATAGATTAGTTTGTAAAATGAATGTTAAAAATCGAAGCTCATTTTAATAAAGAAGGGTGTGAGTGTTTGTACGTGTGACTGAAAATAAGAACTACACTCATACCCACACCCTCATATTGGGTACAAAATTAAACTCTGAAAAAAAATGATGTATGCATTCGCTTGAAAATCTGAAACAGTTAGGTTACTTTGAATCAGTCGACAACAATCACTCAGTTTTGTCCGAATTCACATAAAAAGATGCGGAGTTTTATGTAGAATATTGTAGCATATTTTTAATTTCAGCAGATCCGTTTCTAAAAGCTCTCTTTAGTTTTTTCGCTTTTTTGACTTTCACACTCAACTTTTCTGTGACGCGAAAAATCTATTCGAAAAACAAAGTCGACATTTTTGTAGAGAATTGAGTTCTCTATTCATTGACATAAAAGTCAAAGTTTTAAAATAAATTGTTAAATGCTTCAAAGATAGGAAATAAAAATGAGTCATTTCTAATGCAGTATCTGTTATCTTCTATTTTCAGAGAAAAATTTTATAATTTGCCAAAAGAATTTTAAATTGAATTTTCTACTGAGGAAGGTTTATCATTTTAGCGGCAGATCCTGCACGTCTGGTAAGAAGAAATCGAATTATTTTGACAAACAATGATATAATAATAGTAAAATTGCATTTGAAGAATAGAACATATCTAATAATCATCTTTATTTTCTTTTAGCCTTTTCAATAATGAAATATATCAATAAAATTTAGTTTAAATTAAAAACAACTTTATGAATTATATAGTTTTTTTTTCATTGAGCTTCCATAATTAATTAAATTTGTACACAAAACTTCCTATGTAGAGAATAAAACAAACGACTAATCGATCAAATTAATATTTATAACTTACAATCAAACTATATTTTCGGCATATGTCATAATAATCAGATGGAATAGATAATTGAGAAAAAAAAGACGTTTTTTTTCATAGGTGTTGAGTCGATTCTTCAAGTCAATGTTGTTGTCGATTAGTAGATAATGATGAGTTAAAACTTGTTAGTGTTGGACATATGTAGTTCAGATAAAGAAGATTCACTAGTTGTCAGTTGACGAGAACAATATGGTATTGATACTCTTTATTTTTCAGATATAAATAAATAATGAATGGATGTAGATGAAATCAATTTTGATTGAATGTCATGATGATAATTAAGATCATATAATTTTTGTATTTTACTATTGCTATTGATAGCGTAGCAAAGGTATAATGCTGAAGAGATATACATGATTGTGATTTCAAATAGTTATAAAAATTTTTGTGCAGAAAAAGGTTCCTTACAAATCGATTACTTTCTTTGATGTGTCATGTAAACAGTACAAGCACATGTATCCGCGTATTTTCGGGCTCTTCGTTCTCGGGATCATCGCAATAGAAAATGATAACGTTCAATGCTGACGTCTAGTAGATAAAAAACACAAAGAAACCTCGCAAAAGACTGCATAAAAGCGATATGAAGCGATCTTAATTTTTGGCAATAGAATTTCAATTACCATAAAATAATGATAAACAATTTCACCAAGAGTCGATTCTGTCCTGTCGAAGGTTTCCATTATTTCTCCTATTAATAACAACTGATTGAAGATTATTTCACCAATTTTAATTATCTCGGGTAAAAGTTGGAGGCCAAATCATCAAAATCAATGTTTTGTGGAACTTACTGAAGAAAAAGGAAAACTCATATTGAAGATTCAAAATTGTTTGGGTCATCTCAAGACATCTATCTTCCTGACATAGTTCGAACGAATTTCTATCAACTTACCTTTCTCTAAAACATCGCGACACAAGATACAGATTTTGTTACCGCAAAACAAAAATAGGCAAAGTATGGAGATCGAATGTGTGCGTGAATGATTACATAAATGCTGTACTTTGCACCGCATAAAAAATCAATTCTACGAATTTGACTGAATATCTTACAGAAAATCTGTGTCCCATTTCAAATACTATCGTGCAATAGAGAACTCATTGAGCTATATTTTTCATATAGAACGTATAGATAAGTTTTTCGAATGTGATCAGATACCAGACGATATCACTAAAGCGATCATTATAATCATTATAAAAGGTGCAGAGATTTTCTTTTTTCGTGCTACAAGAATTCACTACCCGTACATTGTAAAACTCGGATTAGACAAGTAAATATATGATTGTCATAATATTTTACAAGTTCGAAAAAAGTTGCGGAATCGTTTTTCGGTACGTTTTGTCTCTTGTAACAAACATTTTAAATCAAATTTCTTTGTACATTTTTATACTAGACACTTTGCTCTTTCTAACAAAAAAGAAGAAGAGATCTCTACAATATTCTATTACACTGCTGTATCAAAAAAAAATTAATGCAGAACTTTTGCATCCCTCGTTTGTTTCGATAGCTAAATAAGAGAATTAATCATTAGAAGCCCTTTTTTGGGTTTGGGAATGGTAGCTGATTATCATAGAAAGCCATCCATATTTTGAGAATTTCTTCTCACAAAAATGTCGGATTGAACTGAAAGTTTCAAAAAGTACATAACTCACGTTGAAAAATCATGTCTGCTTGCGTTGCCAATTAGATCAATATGTTTAGAATAATAATACTGTTAGATTAAGACGAACAGAACACGTAAATGAACAATACCGAGCAAATAGGGTGTTGTGTGAGGTGTGGGTGTGAATGGGATGTGGGTGTGGATGGGATGTGGGTGTGGGATGGGATGTGGGTGTGGATGTTAATCTTCCCTGTATTCATACCCACACCCACACCCAATTAACTGTAACTGTGAGAAAATACTTTCTTAGTCTAGACGAGTTGGCAATGACTTTATTGTTGAAACAAAAAGCAAGCTAAATTGATAATTGTCCCAAAATAAAAAAAAAGAAATATTTCTCTAGGGAAAAAAGGTGAAGAATACAACGATAACTTATGTTACTTATTGAGCATTAAAGTCCAACTATAAATTCAATCATTTGACCTGCTTAAACTCACGTCAGTTCTGATCGGATTTAGAATGACTAGAATCGGTTGGAACAGAAGACAAAAGTTCGAAAACAATATTCGTTTTAGACTTTTTCTATTCTAACCATAACTCATAGACAATAAAGGGTGTGAATTTATAGATGAACCGGAAACTCAAACCTTATTGCGTATACTTCTGTTTGAATCTTCACTTGATGTCATTGAATTTATATTAATAATATTATTTGAATAGAAAAAAAAAACATTTTCATAAATGTCTTTTTCAAAAAAAATCAAATGGTTTTACTTGATTAAAAAATGAAAATTTTTTTTTCTGTTGATTGAATATCACTCATATCATTTGCATTAGTTGATAAGTTTTCAAATAAAAAAAATTCAAAAACAACATACTAAAAATCTTTTTTTCTCTTTACTTGAATAGATTAAATTAATAATATCAAATAATAATTGTAAATTATTAAGATCATGTAATATCAATGAATGTTTAAAAAAATGTATAAGTAAACGACTTTTATCATATTGATAATGAAAAAATGATCGAATTGTTGTTGGTTTTATAGCACTTAAAAGAACATAAATACCTTCTAAACATCTAACCTGAACAATAAAAAATAGCAACTAACCTATATAAAAGGCAAAAATACCAAACAATTTATATTCGAGTTGATGCTTGAGTTAAAAAAATCAAATATTAATGTTGATAAACATGATATTGTTTCACATTATACTTTATCATTGGATATAATTACAGAAGTATTTAATTGTTGTAATGAACAAACCTTAAAATTGACTTATGCATTCAAATGTTACAAAAATAAATTTCTCGATACAATTAATTCATTATGAAAATGTCAGGTTTTCTCATATTTTTTATCTTCATATAAATTTGAAAATTTTGTGATACAAAAAAAAAATAAACGTTATTCTTATGTGTATGTCTCATAAAAAACGTATCGTTTTCTGGTAAAAGTTTCAGATTGCAATTTCTTGATTTGTTCGATGGAATCATTTGAAAAAAAAACTACTCAGTTAACATTTCGATACTTTACATACTTAGCAAAGGCTGAAACTGCTGCTTGACGAACATGTGTATCATCATCAGTAAGAAATTGAAAGATAACATCAATATAACAATTAAGCCATGATCGATTCTAAATAAAAACGAAACAAAAAACGAGATATTTTTTTTCTCTTCTATATAATTATTTCTATTGAAAAATTTTACTGTTTTTTTCAATTGTTATTTGTTCAAGATAATTTAATATTCAAAAATCAATATCACCTATAAGTTAATCTACAACAACCTATTTTATATACAAAAAAAAGATTATTATAATCATAAATTTCTTTTGTCTGCTTTAGTAAGAACATAAGAACTTCTACTATGTTGAATAGAATCATTTAATAATTCAATCCTTATGATTGTAAATACATGTGACTATTAATTAATAAAACCGGTCACAATGTTCATAAAACATTTAACGAAATATGTATTACACATGCATTATTATTATTAAGACATAATCGAAATGTAAGAAGTAATTCAGCTAATATATCTAATTGTATATCGTTGAAAAAAGAAAAATAAAAATATTGATAATGAAAAAAGAGAAGACTAACTTTCTAATCTAATCTTGAACTATCTTGTGAATCAATTAGTAAAAATAAAACATTGATTAATAAAATAATTATTAAATGAATTTAATAATGATGATAATGTTAAAAGATGAAATGTTGTTTGAATTAATTTAGCAAGTAAATTTGCATATGTACCACGCAAATGTGAATCGTTATTTTTACGTATAGATAAAAAATATGTAATAACTTAAAGACAAGAAAAAAAGACATCTCCATGTTCGATAGATTTTAATGTATTAACAGTTACATAGAGATACGAATTTCATTTTTCTCATTAGAAAATTCTATATCAATTACAAAATGATATTTAATAAGAAATCTTCAAAGACTAAAGAAAAATTCTTTAGAATATACAATTGATTTCATATCATAATGAAAAAGTCGTACATCTCTTTTGTACTAAATATCTACTGAACTCGTAATTCGACTTAGAACTTATTTTTTGAAGTAATTGTGTGATTGTATGATTTCAAACTCTGATGTATAGATGTATAAATGTAGTCTATGGCTTCCAAAACTTTTGTATGTCTAATCTATTCAATAAAGTGTTCTACCTGATATCTTTTCGAGTCTAACAAAGTTCTAGTCTTTTGTTCGTTTCGCATTAGAGTATAGTAACTT